AAATATCTTACCATAAAGTGGGCTTTTCTAGAAACCTTTTGTCAGATAAAGACAATGTCTTTATTTTTACTTTATCTTTACATGGACACCACAGCCCTTTAAGGGTCAGTGTGTCCACCTCTTTGAATAATCCCTGGGATTTCTCCTGAGATTTTAAAATCTGCCTTAGTTACCTAGTATTGTTTAAAGAGAAATTCCACAAATGGATAGCTTGAACAAACAGAGACTTATTTGCATAGATTGGGTGACTAGACAGGTGAATTCAGAGCACAGTCCTAGAAGAGGCTTCTCTCTCTCTCTCTCTCTCTCTCTCTCTCTCTCTCAGCTCTGGCAGAATATCTTTGTTCCTTGGCTCCCGGGCGATGCTTATGAGGTGTGGCATCTCTGAGCAGTCCTATCCCTGCCCACCCACCACCCACCCCCGCCCCCTCACACCCCACACCCAGACTCTACTTGCTCACTTTATCTCTGAAGAGATTGAGACAAAGCCTTCACTAATACTGTCTCATTAACATGACAAAGAAAGTCCAATTCAGAATGCACTTACAACATGGGTTTTAATTTACCACACTTACTTTGGGGGGAAGAAAAGTTAGTCCACAAAAGAGGCTATAAGAGCAGAACCACCAAGTCAGCAAAAGCCTGCAGAACAAAAGCTGACCCCTGTGCAAGACTTCCCGCTCCGGCTGTCCTCTCACCTGGGGTAGCCTGGACCTGCCTGCTTACGCCACGTATTTAAGAAGATTTTCTTGTTTTTAATGTTCATTTTGAATTCTTTTCAATGCAAAGGCCAACTAGGGGACCTATACTCATATAATCAGAAGTCTGAGCAGATTCTAAGAATTCATTCACATCTGAAGTCATGACCTATTTCATTGACGTTTTCATTTTCAGTGAATGAACACAGAAATGCACTACATGGAACACAGCCACGATGAAATGTAATTCACACTATGTACTTGTTCTGGTAATTAATAGCTAATGGAAAAGATTCAAACTAATAATAAAATATGAACATGTATCTTAAAGCAAATTACAAGAATAGAAAAAGATGTGCTTCAAATGATAATCAGAGAGCAGTTGACCTTTTCTCACTCTTTGAACAGGAACAAATTTGCCCAATTTTCAAACTGTTTAGAAAATTAATTATAAAACTTTGATTTCTGATACTTGCCCAGATCTACATTTTGACTCACGGCAAATAAGTAAAACAAATGTCCCAAGTGCCATGAAGTGCCAAGTGCCTATATTGCTATAGGAAGGAGCTTCAAAATGTTTATGGAAACTTTCATTATGTTTTTATTCCATGTTTTCAAGCTAATTTGGATGCATGGTGACATTATGTGCTACAGAATAACTGGTCCCTAGGGTTTTCTTGGCTATACCCTCTATAGAAAAGGTTGTCAGATGTTTCTTCCATGGCGGGTGGCTTTGAAACACTTGTGTTTCAAATGTTGTTGTTGTTAGGTGCTGTTGTGCCAGCTCCAACCCCTAGCAACCTGACGTACAACAGACAAAAAAGCAATGTTCTATAAAAAGGAGCTGTCTGGGCAGGAAGAGAGAAAACTCCAGGAATGTCGGAAGAAGAGTCTTTAGTGTTGCATTTTGAGCTCTCTGTCTGAAGTGCTGGAGGCCGAGATCAGAGGCTGAGGCAGGGAGACCAGGAGACAAAACAGAGAAGTAGTGCCAAGATATGAACCTGTGAGGCAGAGCACAGAGGGCTGGCTTCATGTTCCATGGAGTCAAAGGCCCAACGACCACGTGGCTGAGCGGCTGAGGCTTGGAGACAGACTTGGCTACTGGCTGGGGAGAGGTGTTGCCAAGGTCCAGGGACTGTGTCCTTACTGTTTACTGATCCTGGTGTCCACAAAGATCTGCAGCCGACATTGTCCTATTGGGTCATTGTGAATGGAAATTGATTTGATGGCAGTGGGTTTGGTTTTGCACATGAACTAAGAGGGAAGGAGGAGGTAATCAGGAAGGGGCCCCCCCAAATATATTATGATTATTGTAGAAAAACAAATGTTTAGAAAAAGGTAAACTATAGCTTTTGACTCTTAATTTTATCACACCAAAATCCAGGGGAATAAAGAGAAAAAAGGGGACTACAAAAGAAAACATAAAAGAAACTAGAATTCTTGAGCTTGTACCAAAACAAAATAGCTACAAGAAAATAATACCACAGAGAAATGATTGTTATATGTTAGCGTAAATACTAACTACCTTCTACTACTAATAGCATTACTACTATTAAACCAGCAACCAGTTGCCACTGTGGATTCTAACTCAGAACAATTCAATATATGTCAGTGGAAAGTGAGCTACACAGAGTTCCTAAGGGCAATTTAAAAATATATATCCCCTGGCCTTTCTTCTGACACGCATCTGGTGAGCTCAAAGCTCCAAACCTGCAGTTACCAGCTGAGGGCATTCAAAGTTTGCACCACCATAAAGGGACTGGCCCTTCTCTACTATCTTCAACAATTTGGTAACTGTTTGCTAGTTAATGTTATCTCTAAAAATTAAATGTGATTGAAGATGTCATAAAAAAGGTTTTAAAAATGCTTCCGAGATATTTTACATGAGAAAATTTGTAACATTTGGAGATTGGATTTGATCACTTTAGACACAGTCTATACATGCATGATACTTAATCCAATATAGCTCATGCAGGTGAGTGTTACCTTTTTGTTGTTGTGTAAATTACTTTAAATACAAAAATTTAAACTTGGGGAACCGATTACAAGGATCTACATATAACCTCCTCCCTGGGGGATGGACAACAGAAAAGTGTGTGAAGGGAGATGCCAGACAGAGTAAGATATGACAAAATAATAATTTCTAAATTATCAAGGGTTCATCAGGGAGGGGTGAGTGGGGAGGGAGGGGGGAAATGAGGAGCTGATGCCAGGGGTTTAAGTGGAGAGCAAATGTTTTGAGAATGATGAGGGCAACAAATGTAGAAATGTGCTTTACGTAATTGAAGTATGTATGGATTGTGAGAAGAGTTGTATGAGCCCCCACTAAATTGATTAAAAATTGTTTAACTTATTTAAGTGATAAGAAACTAATTTATGCATAACTTAAAAGCCAACAACATGAACAAGCCCATGCCTTCCAAGTCTATTTGAACTCACAGGACTCCATAGAGCCTAAAGCCTCTCATTTAAGACATTTTCCAGGTGTGAGAGTAAAGCGGGTATTGTGTGGTGGCACCTACTGGCAAAGCATGACAGTACAACCAAACTAAAGGTCAGGTGGCCTGAAGGACAGACGGCAGCGGGGTGATGGCTGAGAGAATCAAGTCGTTTTCCATTTCTTCCCTAGCTGTTCCTCATCTGCCCTTGCACTCAGTAAGGCTGTGATTGTTGATCATCTCAGCACATTATCTGCCAAGTAATAAAAATCCACTCGTTTAAAATTTTGTACATTATACTAAGGTTTCTATTAATGATATATTGCTGGTCTGATACTTGCTAAACTCCTGTATCGAATGTAAAAACAGTGTAGGGTTAAGACCACGTGAGTGAGATCTCTAGTTTTAGAAAAGATCACTCTGGCAGCAGCAAGAAGATGGGCCACGGTACGCGTGGAGACAGATGGAAACTCCAGAGCACAGTGAGGCAGTCCGAGCAAAATGATGGGAGTCTGAGGACAGATAGTAGTGCCATCTTCACTGTTAGTTGCCGCTATGTCAGTTCCAACCCATGGTGACCCCTGGTTCACAGAGCAGAATTGCTCCATCGACTTTTCCGGCCTGTGAGGCAGATCGCCAGGCCTGTCTTCTGTGGACTCTCTAGAGCAGGGGTTCTCAACCTGTGGGTCACGACCCTTTGGGGGTCAAATGACCCTTTCACGGGGTCGCCTGATTCATAACAGTAGCAAAATGACAGTTATGGTAGCAGTGAAAACAATTTTATGGTTGGGGGGTCACCACAGCATGAGGAACCGTATTAAAGAATCATGGCATTAAGAAGGTTGAGAACCACTGCTATAGAGGGTTTGAACCACCAACCTTGCAGTTTGTCCTCAAGCCCATGACCATTTTTGCCACCCACGGTACCCTCTGACACACAGTAACAAAACTCAAGAACCAAACTCACTGCCGTGGAGTTCGTTCCAACTCCTGAAAACCGCAAAGACAGAGCAGAACCGCCCCTGTGCGTTTCTGACACTGTATCCCTTTACGGGAGTAGAACTCCTCATCTTTCTCCCACAGAACGCTTAGTGGTTTTGAACGGCATACCTCGCGTCCCTCACTATGCCACCAGAGTTCAATAAATGCCAGCTACTTTTATTGGGAGCATGCTATGGCTCACCAATTAGCAAGGACCTACCATGTATGCTAGCACGTATCACCCACTTCAAGGAGGCAGCTTTACCCTAACCTATAGGATCACTATGAGTCAGAACTGACTCAACAGGGATGATGTTTGATAACTCACTTCCACCCTCACATATTTATCTAGACATTTCACCCTCCAATATACCCAAAATACAAATACATATCAGGCAAGAGAAAAACCCTCCCTTAATATAAAATAAACACAAATTATAGATGAACCAAAGATTTACACATAAGAAACATTTTAAACTAACAAAATAGAACATTCATCATCTCTTTGTACATTTCCTTCCTCATACTTAATAGAAGTTTCCTTTATCTCTAAATAAAACGTTTAAAACAATTATCTATTAGGTACCGTCCAATCATCCCAAAATTTGTTTTTTCCCAATAAATGGTAAATCATCTTTTTAAATCAAACTTAATTTGAACATGCCTTTTGACTTTGGCTAAACTCTCAACAACCAAACTTGCTAGAAATTTGGAGGCAAAGACCAAGCAATTATAGTTTATGTATCTAGAAATTATGTTTCTTCTTCCTACTGCTGGTCTGAGGCTCGCGTAATTCATTATCTCATATTCCCTACCTCTGATTCTGTGAAGTTTTAAAGGTAAGGTTAATAACATGCATTTGTAATTTATGAAAAGCCATTACCTTGGATTTGGGATTTCTCCAAGAATCTCACCTAATTTATCCATGAAATTAATAAAATTAGACAATCCTTTCACATGAGTCCTTAAGGGATCAGATGGAGAGGGCGCATATCCTTTTCCTCCAAGCTGTATTGTTCGAATGAATGATGTGGCCATCTAGGATTTAGAACAAATGATTAAGCTATGTCTAGTGATTCCATAAATTAAAGCTAGCTTTTACTTTATGAAGTGAGGTACATCAAATGAATTCAGGGTATGCAGGTAAAGTGAAGCACTTTGTGCAACCCACGACACACTTTGATCTAGAAGCAATGGTGGCAGAAGCAGCCTATGTCAGTTAAGAGGGTGGCGATGATAGCCAGCTAGAGGCAAAGACTGAGGCAAGTTAAGGGGAATATCATCATTAATTATAAAGAATTAGTTTTATAAATATATTCTTCTGTGGAACTGTTTTGTGGAACAATGGGGTTTTCAGTGTTAACTGATCTGTTGGGTAAAGAAAATTGACTCAAAAGTAATTTACTCTTTGCACACCTTAGCTACTTAACTTATAAAATCAACTCGCAATTACTACCTCCCATCTAGCTATCACATTCTAGGATTATCAGGAAGTCTTATGTGACGTGGCTATGTGCGTGAGTGTCTACATTGAAGATTAAATGCTCAAAAGCAATATTTTCCAAGGTGTATTCTAATATGTCCTGGTGGCCCTTTGGGTTAGGCAGTGTTCTGCTAACTTCAAAGTTGGTGGTTCGAACCCACCAGCTGCTCTTCCAGAGAACAATACAACTGGCTGTGCCTGTAAGGATCTACAGTCTCAAAAACCCCAAGGAGCAAGTTCTCCTCTGTCCCATAGTGTTGAGATAAGTCGGAATTAACTCAATGGCAGGGGAATTTTTTTTATATATAATATCAATAATTTGGGGATAGTCAAATAAACTAGGAAACAATGGATAAGTTGAAAAAATAATCTAAAATAGATTTCTCTGGCAGGTCTTTACCAAGCTTTTGAAATATAAATATGCACTATGAACATCCAAGAAGGGTATAAATTACTCCCAAAAGGTTTTCCCTTGTGAGTATTTATTCAAAGGACTCTTGAGAGTAAAGTTTTGCCCTTAGAAACATTCAAAGTCATTTACCAGTGTCAGTGTTCTACAGGCCACATGTAAGAAAACACTGATTGAGAGAACTGCTGCCTTGCCGAACCTAAACGCTTCAGTAGAAAATAAAACACCATGGATCTCAAATACACAAGAAGATAATAGATTTACTGAAGTTCCTCTGTTCAAAATCAGTCTTTGAAAATTCTTAAAATCGTACTGTACTCATACCAGAAAGATGGGCAGCTGCTTCTCCTGAGCAGCATGTTTCAGCTCTGTGAAGGCCTCTCTTCCAAGTCCTCTATCAGGAATATTTAGAATATAAGCCAAAGCCAGGTCATTCTTTGAATTTACTAGCAAATTCAAATATGAATAGATGATCTTCTTGGCTAGCAAATGCGCCTGTACAACAGAATAAACAATTAAATGCCCGGTTATCTTTATTCAGTGATTCTATGTACATAAAAATAATCCTTTTTACAAGCCTAGCAAAAATATAGATCATCATCCAGTGGCAGTATCTTGCTCTGCTCTTTGGGAACAGAGAATTGCTAAATAAAAAGAAAACTCAGGTATGGCATTTAACATACTTGGTGCACTACGAAACTATGAGTAACTGACAATTATCACAGCTGTTGGGAAAAAGAGCTCTCGTGAATTGATAAAAACATACCATCTACAGTGTGCATTCAGAGAGTCTTCATCTCACTGCCCTGAACACATCTGTCAGTAAATACTAATCAGTCATGACGTCTCCTCAAGTCTAGGCCATGGGCTAATTGTCTCCTGTTGATCCCACACCAACAATCTTATTGACTGAAGCTACACAGTTAAAAATTTGAAGCTTACTAAATATTTACCATGACAATATCAAATACCAAACTAAGGATTAAGGGCAAAAAGATCCAGTAAAATGTTAAGCAACTAACAGCAACATAACAAAGTAGTTGATTTTGACATTAACTGGCCTAAAACGCAGTTACAGACCATTCATCAAGATGAGTAGGATTGGGGAAAACCTGACAAGACATCAAATCTTTCATATTTATTGTACTTTTCCTTAACACACAAACCTTAAACCAGGTATTTAATAAGTTTTACCCCCCTTAAATTCAGTTACTTATAATTACTGAAGACCTTGCAACTTCTAATGTGATCCTTATTGTTAGAGAGAGAAGTAATCACAAGAGCCCCAATGATAACTAAAAAAGATTAGATCAAACTTTAAGACAAATCATGTAAAGATTCTGTAAAATGTAAAGATTCTGTAAAACATAAAGGGCAGGCAGAAACTAGAAGAGAATTTAATTTTTTAAGAACTGTGACAATAAGGATAAGACGTTGAGTTTGTGGATATATCAGGCCCTGTCACTTCCTGCACAATGGGGAAGAATGAGGAATCATGTGAAGCTCCACAAGTAACACATATAGAACATTACATAAAGTCTTTAAAACCATGTACACAGACTGGAAAGCACTAAAAGACATAAGAAGCTACATGGCGGTCCTATTTTAAAAGAACGGCAACAAGAAGGGTATGAATGGAGTTTGTAGTTTTGCTGGGAGTACAATTGGCTTCTATAATTCTCGTCTGGACTGTCTAAGGTAAAGTCTTGAACCGATAATTCTCTGAAATAAAGAGGTTGGGAATTGCCACTACCTCTGCTCCCTACCCACTAGTCCCCTCTCCTCACCAAAGGCCCCTTTCTACCATGTCTAGGTGGCTATCACTTTTCTGGTCTCTTGCCAAATGGCACCTCAGTAGTATCATCATCTCCATGACCATGGTCACATCAAATAATGTGCCAAAGAAGCTGACCCCTTAGTGTTATTTTTTAATCCACTGTACATTAATCAGAAAATGCAAGCTTAGAAAATTTATCTTGTGCACCCTGTTCACAGGATAACTATGTTGTATGCACTTGAACAAAATACACTTCCTTGCCCCTCGTAACCAGGTGGCCAGGCCAGGTATGCCTGACCCTTCCCCTTTTCTCACACATGCCACTAAGCACATATACCCTCTGGTCGATATTACATAAGCTCCACAATCCTTTATCCTTAAGTTGTCTCATCCATGAAGCATCAGAAAGCATAAACGGACGTAGCCAAAGATCACACTGTTGGATCGGAAGATGCCTTTTGGGAGATTCTGGCTCTTCATAAATGCTACTATATTTATCAATGCCTTGTGACTACATACATAAGTGAGTAGTGTAATTATTACTTCTGACCCAAATAGCTCTACACTGACTTATATTTTTAACATGATCCATTGCAAGCTTGCTGACCCAAGAGCACTGACGAAATCCCATGACTATGGCTGCAGAAACAGAGGTGATTGTGCGAGGCTTCTCGGGTGGAAAATACCTCAGTTCTTGGCTTCCCACGAGAAAGAATTCACGCCGAAGCCTGGTTTGTAATCCAAGTGGTTTTTTATAAAGGACGAGAGAAGTTTCAGGTTTTATAGTCTTCATGGAGTACACACTATTTCAGGGAAGCATACCAAACTGCATGTAAGCCACACTGGGGCTCACATCTGAATACACACAACCTCGTGGGACTGCAAGCCCACACGTGGTGACCTGAGGCCACAGAGACCATGGCACAGCTGAGTGGGCACAGGAGCAGGGTCAAAGGGAGAAGGGCAGAAGGGCCAGCTGTCCTGCAGTTAAGGTATTTTAAACCTCTGGCTGGTGAGGAATGGTCGAAGGTATTGGTTGACCCCATTAGCTGAATCAAGCCCACCAGGCTGGGAGGTGGAATTGGGGTGGGGGTGGTCATTGAATTGGAGCATGCCCAGTTAAAGGGTCCTCATAGATGTTTAATGCTTGCCTAATTCCTTCCCAACCTCCAGTACAGGCCTTGTGCAGACATGGCCCCTCTATCCCTATTCTGCTACCTAACAATTGAAGTGCTGGAAGTTAAGAGTGAAGGATTGCAGAAGAAGCTTGAAATTTAAAGGCAAAACCCTAATAGCAACTTCCCACTAAGGAGATGGGCAAAGGACCTGAACAAAAGTTTCACGAGGGCAGAAATCCGAAGGGCCAATAAACATATGAGAAAATGTTCCCAATCATTAGCCATAAGAAAAATGCAAATTAAAACAACTATGAGATACCACCTAACACCCTCAAAGATAGCCCAATTCAAAAAATCAGAACAAGTGTTGGAGGGGAGGAACAAGTGTGGGGAGATAAGAATGCTCGTCCACTGCTGGTGGACCTGTAGCTATGTACAGCCATTATGGAAATTTAATTGGTGATATCTAAAACAGATGGAGATTGAGCTACCATACAACCCAGCAATCCCCATACTGGGCATCTACCCAGAAGAGGCAAAAAACAAACCACGACCAGACATCTGTGCTCCAATGTGCATCGCGGCACAGTTCACAACTGCAAGGAGTTGAAAACAAGCCAAATTTCTATCAACAGATAAACGGATTAAAAAACTGTGGTATATACATACAATGGAGTACTATGCATCTCTAAAATGCAGTGATAAACGCATGAAGCACATTGCTGCACAGGAAGAACTGGAGATAATCATGCTAAGTGAAATAAGTCAAGTATAAAAGGACAAGTACAACATGAGTCCACTGAGGTAAGCTTAAAAAAAATGGGGCATAGGGGAAAAGCTACTACATACATACATCCCTGGGGTGAGGTCCAGCAACTATGGCAGGAGCCAAACCCAATCCAGGGATACATACGGCAGTCAACTAAATAGGAGTGGGAAAGAAAAAAAAAAATGCCTCGGGTAGTGGGGGATCAGGGCACTCGTCCCCCCAAAGGGAGGGTATTGTTTATATCTCCACAGGAGCAGGAGAGAGAGACTAAGCTTCAACCCAATGCGCCAAAACGTGAATACAACATATCAGGCATGTACCAGGGAACCAACGGAGAGGTGTGCGGGGCAAGCCTCAATCCCAACTATGTGGACACCCCTCCTCACTCCCTCAGAAGAATGCACTTGAGAGGACAGCACTGAGCTATTGCTTGGGGAGAGGGGTGCGTTGGATTACAGCACACAGGAGAAACAAAAAGGGATGGAGAGGGAGGAGAGGACACCCTGGCCCCCCAATCCCCGAGGACGATATTCTTGCTCAGGGAGGGCCAGCCCCACCACAGGACATGGAATCCCTCACTGAACCATGACACTGCGGGGGACACACTGGAGATACAGTGTGGGAACAGTGCACGATCTAGTGGCTAGGGACAAGGGAACAACAAGTGAAATAAAACCAATGAAAGGAAGGTCATAGGATGCCTAGTAGGGCTCAATCAAGGGCAAAAGTAGCAGCGAGGAATTAAGGCACCCGAGTGAAGGCTGAACATGATGGTCGGACAAGAGGGAACTAAAAAGTAAATAGAGGAAAGAATCAGGAGGCAAAGGACATTTATAGAGGCCTAAAAACAGGCATGTACACATGTAAATATATATATATAACAAGAGGGGAATAGAACTATGTATTCATATTTATATGTTAAGAATTAAGGTTGCAGATGGACATTGGGCCTCCACTCAAGTACTCCCTTAACACAAAAATACTTTGTTCTAACAATCAGGCATTCCGTGATGCTCACCTTCCCAACATGATCACTGAATACAAAATGAATGCATAAGCAAATGTGGTGAAGAAAGCTGATGATGCCTGGCTATCAAAAGATGTAGCATCTGGGGTCTTAAAGGCTTGAAGATAAACAAGTACCCATCTAGCTGAGAAGCAACAAAGTCCACATGGAAGAAGCACACCAGCCTGTTTGATCTCGAGGTGTCTGTCGATGGGATCAGGTATCAGGCATATAAGACTCAGAACAAAACCATAACCCAAGGTGAAGGGGGAGGTGGGGGTATTGAGTGGAGACCCAATGCCCATCTGTAGACAATTGGACATCCCCTCACAGAGGGGTCACAAGGAAGAGATAAACAGGGTGCATTTTAGCACCGATGAAACACACAACTTTCCTCTAGTTCTTTGGTGCTTCCTTCACCCCACTATCATGACCCCAATTCTAGTTTACAAATCAGTTTAGACTAGAACATGCACACTGCTACAGATAAGAGCCCGCAACACAGTGAATCCAGGATAGATAAATCCCTCAGGGCCAACAAGGAGAGTAGAGATACCAGGAGGATTAGGGGAGGATGGGGGACGAAAGGGGAACGATCACAAGGATCAATCTAGAACCCCCTCCCAGGGGGACAAATAATGGAAAAGTGGGTGAGGGGTAACAGAGGACGATATAAGATATGGAAAAAATAATCTATAACTCATCAAGGGTTTGTGACGGCGGGAGAGAAATGGGGAGCGGATACCAGGGACTCAAGTGGAAAGAGAATGCTTTGAAAATGATGATGGTGGCATATGTGCAAATGTGCTTGACACGCTGGAGGAA